AACCCAATTTATTTTCCTTTCCTCTCCCTTTCCCCCCCATAAAAAACTTTTCCGAATTTTATCAATAGCATAAATTATACCTTTTGAGATTACATAGACTGACATCAAAAACACGGGCAAGCTTGACAGCACTGAATTGATTAGCGTAATGCGACCTCCCATTGATAGATGTCTCCCCTTCCATGAGGCTAATTTCCTTTTAACCGACTCCACCAATGGCTGCCACATAGCTATTCTTCTTTGATTGCCACCAATTGGGATTCCCAAATACTTAAAAGGTAGCTCCCCTTCCTTGCAATACAGTATATGAGCCATTTTGCCACTCTAGCTTTTTTCCACCCCCACTCCCATCAATTGGCTTTTTCTGAAATTTATCTTTAACCCTGAAGCCAACTCAAAGGTCCTCATAATGCATTTGATCACCCGGATGTTGTCCTCTATTGCCTCCCCGAAAAAGATAGTGTCATCCGCGAATTGTAGGTGTGAGACCATAATGCTTCCGCTGCCAATTGGAACTCCTTTATACCGCCCTTTCTCCACTGCTGCTGACACTAGTCCATTCAACCCCTCCGCAACAATCAAGAATAAAAACGGAGATAACGGGTCACCTTGCCGGATGCCTTTGCTAACCGGGAATTGTTTCGTCGGGCTACCATTGATGAGAATGGATACTGAGCTGGATTTGAGGCACTCCTGTATCCATTTCCTCCAAGTTGCATTAAATCCCATCCTCAACATCATGTACTCAATGAATTCCCAGCATACCTTATCATAAGCTTTCTCAAAGTCGACTTTAAATAGAAAGCTCTTCATCTTCTTCCTTTTGACCTCATCGATAACCTCATTTGCAATCACTACTCCTTCCGATAGTTGTCTTCCCTCTAGGAAAGCCATCTGCTGTTCTCCGATCACCTTGGGTAGCACCTTTCGCAGCCGGTTTGCTAGTAATTTTGCAATGATTTTATACATAATTCCAATGAGCGATATGGGTCTGTATTCCTCAATTCCTTGGGGATTTTCTGTCTTCGGGATTAGCACAATGAAAGAAGCATTTGACCCTTTGACCAGCCTACCATGTTCTTGGAATTCCTGTACAAAGTTAACCACATCAGGTTTTATGACCTCCCACATCGTCTTTACAAATCTGAAATTGAATCCATCCGGCCCTGGAGATTCGGATGAGTCACAATTCCATATTGCTTCTTTGATTTCCTGTTCCGAGAAAGCCGCAGTGAGAATGTCATTATCAGTTTGTGATATTTACTTAAAGCTTATCCCATCCAGCTTTGGTCTACTCCACTGTTCTTCTGCAAACAAATTCTGGAAGTACTTAGCAGTCTCTTGCTTTATTGACTCCACTTCTGTATGTTGCTCCCCATTGATCCGGATGCTATTCACTTCATTGCTTCTCCATCTTCCTTTCACACATCTATGAAAAAATTTTGTGTTGGCGTCGCCTTCTTTTAACCATAGCTTCCTTGATTTTTGTTGCCACATCCTCTCCTTGATTCTTAGATTTTTCCACAAAACAATAAAACTCTTTCTCCTAATTTCAATATCACTGTCTGATAGTTGATTCTGCTCACTTTTCTCATCAATTCTAGCAATTGTATCTTCAGCTTCCTTTATTTGGCTGTCCACCTCCATAATCATATTACTGCTCCACTTCTTTAGAGCAATCTTTGTTTGTTTCAGCTTCTCCTTAATCTTAAATCCACTCCACCCTTTCACTTCACTACTATTCCACACATTTGAAATCGTCTCCTTGCATCCTGGATGTTCCAACCAAGCATCATAAAATTTAAATGGTTTTGGCCCCCAATCAACCAGCTCATTTTTCAGCAAAATTGGGCAGTGATCCGATACAGACCTCTTCATTCCCCACTGTTTCACATTGCTCCATTTTGTCATCCATTCCTCTGATAATAAAAATCTATCAATTCTACTCATGTATTGACCATTTGAGCTATACCAAGTATATTTTCTCCCCACTAAAGGCAAGTCAATCAATTTAGAATTATGAATAAAATCATCGAATTCTCTCATTTCAGAAGATGTCATGTTGCACCCTGCTCTTTCATTAACCCTTCTCACAGCATTAAAATCCCCTGTTAAGCACCAATTTCCCCTTCTGCTCTTAATTAATTGCTGCAATTCTTCCCACAATTCTCTTTTTTTTGAGATTTGGCACGGGGAGTATATATTTACTAAACAAACCGGTGTCTCCTCCTTTCCCCACAATCCACACACCCCAATAAAGTTCTCACCCTCTATTGTCTCCTTCCTCTTCAGTACTCTCGGGTCCCAAACACAGAGCAATCCACCTGATTTACCAATAGACGCCTTTGCAACCCAATCCAAATCCTCTGTTCCCCACAAACTTCTACAAGTAATTCTATCTACCAGTTCCATCTTAGTCTCTTGAACTGCTAAAAACTGAATTTTTTCTTTCATAACTAAATTCCTAATATGTCTTTTCTTCCCTACCCCTCCAAGCCCTCTAACATTAAATGACAACAATATCATTGGAAAACGTCACCTACCTTCCTATTATCTTCCTCTTCTCGGTTCTCCCCAGTTGTTTTTGCTCTTCTGTCTCTATCCTCCATTTCCTCAATTCTCTGAATCACCTCAATATCATCTTCTACAACTGCTCCGAGCTGCGTCGCCAGATCCCAAATCTCCTTCGCCAACTGTGCTTGCCGTTGTTTTTTGAGAATTTTGTTGCAATTCTGTATGTCGCTGTCTCCTATTAAATCTCCAGCTATTTTTCCATTCAAATTCGGCATGAAAGTTGGTATTGGTTTTCCTTCCCTCTGTTGTGAGCATTGCTTCCTCCTTTCTTTTCTACTTGTCTCTACCACGTCCCTGGTATCTGATTCTTTGTACACTGAGCTACACCATCTGACCCTCCTTCTTTCCTTTTTTGATTTACAGACCCCTATTTGGCTGCCGATCCACTCATCTATGCGTCCTCCCTCAGCTTCATAGCCCCTCCAGAACAAGTCTTCTTCTTCTTCTTTGTTGCATCCTTTTGCTCCTTTTCCATTTTTGAAATTACCCCTTATTATGTTTGTAATTGAATTCTCCGATGAGCCTTTTGTTTGGGTCCGTCCCTGCTTAGTTGATTCCTCATTCATTGGGCCTTCCAATTACATATTGGGCTTATTCACCAGTTGCATATTGGGCCTCCTCTCGTGACCCACTTCCCTTATAACATCTTCTATACTTTCTGGAACCGATCCCTGCAGCTCTTGTCTTTTTGGTTCCACGCCAGACCGTGACCTGTCATCATCTAAATTCAAATTTTGAATTTTTTCCCTGTTGAATCCTTCCGTTTCTGCTTGCTATCCTCCTTCCCCGTTGACATCTTCTGCTTGTCTTTTTCCTTTCTCTTTCTTGCGTACAGAGACGTCATCATCTTCTACCCCTGGATCCACGGTTTGAGCATCCTCCTTGATCCATCCATTATTTGAGGCCTGAATCTCCGAATCACTACCCATAGACCATGTTTCCCGGTCCTCTGATTCATTGCTAAATGATGGCATAAAGTCTTCTTTTAGAGAAAAGAAGTTGTTGGTGAATTCTTCCTTTGTAAACTTCACTTGGTAAATATCTCCATTAATTTTAACTTGTCTTGTGACTGTGATTGTCTCCATGATTGGAGTAGAGATCAGAAACCTTGCAATGTCAAACCTTTTTTTTTTGCTTGTGCTATCATCCAAGCAGATAAATTTTCCCCATGAACAGCTCATGGTTGAAAAGAAATCAGTTTCCCAGGCGTTCAGTGGAACCCCTTGACACCTTTTCCATACAAATCTCTAATTTGCAGTCAATTTTTGTGTCCATGGTTGCACCTCTGCAAACCATTGCCTCAGCCAATCTGATGCCATTTCAACCAGGTCCTTCACTTCCTCTTTATCTTCCCCTAATAGTAGAACCATTTTGCCTCCCATTGCCCGAATTTGACAAGAAAAATACCCTTCCATGCAGAATTTTTCTTGCAAATTACGAACCATCTCTACTGAGTGCACTCTTCCGACGTAACAACCGTCAAGCCATTTATACTCCTCCGGTTTGACATTATATTCCATGCCTGCCCAATTGATCCCCGTTCCCTTTTCTTTCCATACTCTCCTGGTTGCCCGTTGCCAACTGCCCTGTCTGTTTTTACCTCTGCATTTCTCCAGATCATCTTGCCTTAAACCATTTTTCTCTTCAAACTCTGTTCTTCGGTGTCTACTTCGACCATCCTCCCTCTGTTTGCTCTGTTCCTCTTCAGTATTGCTTCTTTGTATTCCTTTCACCACCTCCGCAAAGCTTTTGTTTTGAATAACTGTCTTCGCTTCTCTCCTGCTTTTTTTCTCTCCTACTTCCTTCTTCTCCTCATCATACCTTGGTCTATTCACCCGCAGCTTCCACCCTCCTACCCAAATCTAATCGAGCTTTCTTTCCAGATCCTTCTTATCTTTCACCTCCAAGAATCTCACGAAACCGAACCTGCTCCCATTCTTGCTTTTTCTGTTTGGTGCATAAATGTCATAGACCCTGCCATGCCTTAAAAATGTTCTCCACATCTCATCATGGCTCCAATCATCCGGATAATTGGTGAAGAAATATGAAGTAGCTTGTTTATAGAGGCCCCAATTGTATGGCCCGTCCTTCTGCATTTTCCGACCTTGGTTCTGGTTAAGCTGCACTTTCCTCTCTTCCACCTTACCCCTGTTCCTCTGATAGATGCTGTGCCGAGATCCATCTTGCTCCCAGTTCAGTGCCGGCTGTCCTGCCCGTGAACGATGTCCGCCGAGATCCCTTCTCCCTCTCTCACTAACTCTCTCTCTCATCTCTCTATTTTGAATTTTTATCGATTTTCTCATTTTGTTGGAAGTAAGAGGTTTTAAATTCGAGTCGCATAGCATGGGGTGGGGTGGAATAAGAGATGAAAGATGTTTGTCTCCCATTGTATAACCAAGATAAAAATATATATATATCATGTCATGATTATAAACTTACAATCAGATATAATATTATAATTATAGTATTACATTTTTGTTAGTGATATAAGCTATTGTGTTTTAAAAGTAAGCGGCAAAACCAATAACCTATTGGTCCAAGTGAAAAAAGTTAATTTTCTTTAAATAAGGTATCGAGTTCAAGTATTGTGAATGAAAAAATAAGTACTGGGAGAGCTTTTCCCCTAATGAGGTCCGATCCAATTCGATTCCGAATTAGTCAAGATTGAATATGATTATTGAATACCAAGATATTAGTATTAAAAAAAAAAAAAGTAAGCGGGCAAAGCAAATCTTTTTGGATTTTTTGAGTGGAAACACAATTCTACACATAATCAATTATATCCTATATAATCGATTATATATATGCTTTTGATCCTAGATTCCTTCATTTTTGGACCAAGTCATGGCTTAATTTCTACTAGGGCTGGGCACCTTGCCTCCATTGTCATGGTTACCGAGGTGCCATACCGGTACCGGTACCGGCGGCAGCGGTTCGGTAATTCTGCCGAACGGCCAAAAACAAATGGTAAGATGGTAAATACCATTAGGGTTTGTGGTATGGCATTGGTAGTGGGAGCCCCATACCACATTTACCGTATGGGCCTCCAGCCTACCGGTCTATACCGCAGGCCCATTTTTATTGTTATTTTTTCCTTTTCCTAATAGTATGATATGGAGTGTTTATCAAGATCTCTCCACTTTTTAGATATAGAAATAAATAATTAAATTTTATTGTAAATATAATATGTAAAATTTATATACAAATAGATCCTTCACATATATATGTATTTTTTATTAAAAAAAACCATTAAAATTAACTTTTTTTTCTAATAA